CAATGCTGAAAAATGTGGCTGCAGGATCATTGGGAGTAATGGGAGCTTTCTTCTTTCGCAGTTTGGTATGCAGGTCCCTTTTCTTTTTTTTGCATCAGATTAAACCTTCTCTCTCCATGCAGTAGTCTTGATACAACTTGGTTGGTTTCTGAACAGATAATTGTGAAGGCTGGATAGAGTTGCCATATTTCACAAAGTAAAAACCAGCACACCCCAAAAGTTGTTGAGCTTTTTTAATTTATTTACAAAAACGCCAAAAAAACATGATTTTTCAGTTGACATGCCTAAGATCCAGGACAAAGTGCTGCCTTTCAGAAATCCCCCCACAGACGTCAATTCCGCCTTTGAAATCCCGGTAATGTCCAGGAAAATCCAGACGTATGGCAGCCCTAAGGATGGAAGGCAGTCCTTTGATCTTTTTATTTTCAAAGGACATGTACCATGAATACCCTCCTCTCTAACAATATTTATAATTAACTCCAGGAGATACTGAGCCAGATCAACATAGATCACAGTTTTTTGTTTTTTTTAATATTTTATTAAGGATTTTCTTGTTTTACAGAAGTGTAGTGCCTCATATATATTTTTCCCCATGTAACATTTTTACAAATCCGTTTCATTTGTTGAGGCATTAGGGGGAGAAGAAAATAAAAATAAAAATAAAAAAGGAGAGAAAAGAGAAAGGGGGGTGGAGAGAGGGAAGATGGATAAGGGTGGGATTGGGTGGCGGTGTTTCTATTATGTTTAATGTATGTAGAGTTTGGTGTCAGCGTGCTTGTGTTGTTCACTTGTGTTCCTTTGGTGGTGAGAGAGGTTGGGGTTGGCCTAGGGTGTGATTGTTTGCTTGTGATTGGCTGTGGTGATCTTTGTTTTCGTGTGTGAGTGAGGTGGGTGGGTGTTTTGGATCAGGTTAGCCATATTGATTTGTATGCTGTTGGTGGATTATTGTCATTGTCCTGTTGGGCTGTGTGTGTGATAAAGGGGAGCCATACCGGGGTGAAGGCATCTTCTTCTGTTTGTCCCCGTGTCAGTTTCAGTTTATTAGTTAATTTTTCTAGTAGGGCTGTTTCCCATACTATTTGATACCATTGGTCCATGCTTACTCCTGACAGGTCTCTCCAGTGTCTGGTTATGGTGTTTCTGGCTGCTGAGAGCAAGTGGGTTATGAGTTCTTTGTGGTGTAAATGGGCATTGTTGTCTTGGAAGATGTTTAGTAGGGCCAATTCTGGGGTGGTGTCTATTACTTGCTTAGTTATTTTACAAATTTCTTGTATGGCTGTTGTCCAGAATAGTTGGATTTTGGGACACTCCCACCACATGTGGAAGTATGTGCCTGTGGAGGTGCACCCTCTCCAGCATTTTGGTGAGGTTCCTGGGTGTATTAGCGCTAGTTTTCTTGGTGTTAGGTACCACCTGTAGGTGAGTTTCAGTGTGAGTTCTTTTCTTTTCGTTGATATGGATTTAAAGGGGGGTTTAGACCACATTCTGGTCCATTGAGTGGGGTTTATCTCATAGCCTATGTCATTCTCCCATTGATTTTTGATTGCGTCTAGGGGATTTGCGAGATTTTGGAGTAGTATTTTGTATATTGCGGATACCATCCCTTTACCGTTTCCCTTTGTTGCTAGGAGGAGGTTTTCGAAGGTTGTCAGGGGCCTAGTTGCTGCTGATTTTACTGTTGGGTTGTTTAAGAGGGCATGTAGTTGGTGTTGTGTTAACCAGGGCATTTGGGTGTCTTCTAGTTTGTCTTGTATTTCTTGTGTTGACAAGGGTTTGTTATTTTTATAAAAGTCTATTAGGCGATACAAGCCTTTGGTTCGCCAGGTTTTTATCTTGAGGTTTTGTGCTGCATGGTGGAATAATGGGTGGTACGCCAGGGGGATTAGTGGGGATGGGGTTGGGGATAGTTTGCCTGTTTGTGTTTTCCATGCTTTGAGCATGGTCTGTGTGTACCTGTTAAGTGTTGTGGGAATTTTCTTTAGTTTGTTTGGGAGGAGTGGGTATGCTGTGGTGCAGGTGTTTTCAATTGTGTCCCTCTCTAGGTGTACCCATTGTTTTGTCTCATCTTCTAGTATATATGGGATTATATGGCGTATTTGGTTGGCGTTGTAATATGCGACATAGATCACAGTTAAATATAGACTATCTTGTTCGTATCATGAGTATTTGACAGGGTTGACAATTTATTCATTTTCTTCACTGACATTGTCCTTTATATGCTATAAAAATGTTAAGAATTCTGTCATGTTTACCTTGAGACATATATATATATAATCTACATAATACCCTTTATGCATCTCTAGAAACATAATTTGAAAACATTTTTTCCTCCTAACTCAAGTAGAACTGCCTTACCCAGAAAAAACCCAAAACTACATTTTTTCCATCCCCAAACCTGCCCACCCCTGTACAAAATTAGGCTAATGTTGGGCAAACGGCATTTCTTGGTCTCATTCTCATCAAGTTGTTTAGGCTGTTACCTAAGGAATATGTGAGAATAAGCAAAGAATCACAAATTGGGAAAGAGCTGTTCTAGACAGTATTTCCTCTTGAGTGTGTAAGGACAAATATTCAACTGAGCCTTTGTATCTTGGTGCTTAAAACATTTTTTAATGTACACTGTGTATTTCTGGACTTCAAAAAGTTCTGGTAGCCAACAGAAATAAGCCATGAATATTTTTTTATGAACAAGAGGTTTGCTTAACACTGTTTGTGGTACCACAGTGCCTAGATCCAGGAAGGGCAATCTGCACACCACAATTACATTTCTGTAGGCTTACCATCTGCATCCAGCTTGCACACCGTAAATAAGAGAGACACGCTGACTGCGTCAACAGCACCTGTCCCCTAATATAGG